AATGGGAGAATACGTCAAGTGAAAGACTTCTTTGGATAAATTGGTTGGCAGAGAACATTTCTCAGAAAGCATCGAGCTGGATGGCAGGTCGCACTATGCAAACGCCACGTCTCACACATTTGCATTTCAACAGTCACCAGTGGAAAGGTGCGCTCCCTGTTTGATATGGCAGAAGTAATAGATCTGACGAGGATAGGTGAATATTAAAAGATTGGTGTTGTAATGCTTTAGGAAGTGATTACAACGTTTTCAAGATCGACAACTTTTCCTTCTGCCGAGTCGATCGACCCGTTCCGATTCAAAAACGAGGCGGCGATGATAATCACATACATAAATGACACTCGGTGCAAATCAGGCAAACACGTTTTCGTGTATTCTACTACTACTACTGTTAAAATTCCAGAATGCGGTGCTGGTCGAGGATAATCGTTTATTGAGGATAATAAATGGGAAATTAGTAATTTGGCATGCATAATACAGAAAATCTAATCAGAAACATACCATCGCCGTTCCTGGCCGCACGACGGGTAATGAACGTAGTAATCGATAGTTAGCCTCTGAGAAACAGCAATTTGCCCTCGGTGGTCTTCCTAATTTTTAATCGTCGAAAGTAATCATCAACTACGCTACCTACTACTCACAAGTGAGTAGTATCTCACAACACTACTACTCTACACAAACGTAGTCCTAAACACCTCACCCAATACCGGGTCATTTTGCCTGTCCGCCGAGCTTGGCAATTTGTTTGCAAACGTTTCATCCATCACCAGCCAAAGTGACATTGTCTGTGCCTGTGAAATGGCAGTGTTCTGGTTGTACCCATTCATTACTGTGTTCTACTCCACCGACTACTTTGTCCCTTAATTTCCATCAGGACTAAAGAACAACCCTCCTTCCATTCCACCCTCACCCCTCGCACCAGTCCAATGGCGAACCGAGTCGAAAAATTGAGAACAAGGAACAAAATTGTCGGTGGAGAAGAATACAATAACGAACGAGTACAAGCAGAACACTGCCACTTCACAAGCACTAATGATGTCACCTCAGCTGGTGATGAAACGTTTGACAACACATTGCCAAGCTAAGTGAACAGGAGAAATGGAATTCAGTTCATTCGAGCTATGAGAACCGATTTTCAATACTTTGTCATTTTCGTTAACGTTTACATTTCTCCTTCTTATGCCACTGATCATTTTAATGAGTTCACAGACATTTTTTCACCGTTTTACTGAATTCTGTAGACTCTTCCCTTCGCATCGTGTGGCAATTTCAGTTCTTGATTAAAGAACTTTATTAACTTTCCGGCCAGACTCGAGGCTTGTCTCAATCTGTGTTTCCTGAATGACCTCAACCTATTTTACGTGCGTATCAGTTCCCCTATTGGCACTTCAGATCATGGGGTAATGAAACTATATCCCGTGATCTACGGTAGATGTAATCATCAATTCTATACTCGGAATCGTGATCGTCGGAGTCAATGTCAGCCCGAAAACCTCGCCAAACTAAGAGATCAGATACTTCTCTTTATTTGTGCATAATGACCTGTCAATGTTTTGTGATAACCAGACTGAATATTCGGAGTTTTGTTATGATACGTGCTGCCCATAGGAAAATTCATCCGTACGATCAGACCGCTTCTCGTCCCCTATACTTAAATAGTTACATCGGAAGAAAGAAAGTGCTTTCAAAGCCAAAAAACATTTTTTAATGAGAAACTTATCGAAAGCTATCAAGGCGGCACTGCGGAGATTTAACGCTGCTTATGTACATGCACTGTTGACCAACAGGAATTTTCGCTATACATGGGAAACGTTTCAGTTCTGCGGTCTTAAATCGAAGCAGAATGTGCCAGCCGCTACCGTAGAAGATCCCAATCGTCAAATCATTAATGCCGTAACCGACGCCTCGGTTCCATGCACAGCAGTCTTCCCTACCCTTAATGTTGCTAATTTAATTACGGAACCAACAGCAGTTTTCTAAGCTTTCACCAGTCTGCAGTCTAATAAAGCAGTTGGGTCCTGATGGACTGCTACCTATGATGCTCAAAGAATACGCAGTGTCCCTCTCCTCTGCTTTTACCTGCCTATTCAATCTGTGCTTTAATTAACATTGAATTCCGGACTGCTGGAGAGTGGCCTCTATCACACCAGTACCCACAAGGAAAAATCTAAATTTCGGCCGATTGCTTGCAAATCTGTTGGTTTGAAAGTTTTATGAAAGATTTTATTACAGAAGATGTCCCAGCTGGATGCAACTGATCCCAATCACTTTGCCTATCGCCGCTCCAAGTCAACTGTTGATGCGCTGGCTTCCCTCATTCATTATGTTCCTTCTTATTTGGACAGAAAATGTTAAGGTGTTCAGCTGTTAACCTGACTGTAGTGGCACCTTTGATTGTATATATATATATATATATATATATATATATAAACATACTTTGATACAGTGGTATACCTCGTGAACATATTGTGCAGTTTCTAGGTTCACAGCACTTGAAGGTTTGTTAGAAACTTTCTAACGGACTAATACTGGACCCCTCTCACCCCCTGTACTCTCATCTTAGTAAACGTATCTCTATATCGATCACTCGGTCCAAGTAAAAGCATATGGTAGCGCGCATCACAACGTACCAAACTTCTGTAATACCGTACCTTGCACGATTTCTTACTAATGCCGATCGTGTTACTGAAAACCTCAAGCTCAAACTTTGTTGACTTTGCTTAATTTATTTTTAAATGCAGTGTATCTTCCTTCTTTTTGTTTTCACCATGCCATTTCCGCTAAAGAAGAGTGATTATGTAGTAGCTGAATATTCATCTCGCATGGGCTGAAAGAAAGCGGTTTCTTGACCTGACTTGGTCAGAAATTGCCGTAGTAAAGGCACTCTTATACGTTGTTTGGATTGCCTATGCCAAGTGATGAGTATACTATGATGTAAACCTAGCTGGCTTAAAGTGGAAAACTGCATGAACCCAGTTATCACAGGCTACTGAAAGATACCGGTCATAAAGCTGTTTGCATGGGCTTTTTAATGCTGGAAAGCTACTTCTCCTGTCAAAGACCTGTTTGCCAGACGAATCGACGGGTGCTATTGATTGGGAATATCATTCCACTGGCGGTTCACCAAAATCAAGAAAAAAGAATACTTTACAAGACAAATTGCATTGTGAACAGACAGATCAATATTCGCGAAAAAAGTTGAGCGAATTGTGGAAATGATGTTTGGCTTTGTGAGAACTTTTTATAAGAAAAAGTGATAGAATGGAGAAGACTTTTTGATAATGAGTACTAGTGATTACGCTCCATGTGATTAAAATAGCTACGGAGACAATGATGCAATAAATCAATAAGTACAACCCCAAACATCCTGAACTCTCTACATCACCTGCGTCCCATTCCCACCTGAATTTCACCTGCATCGGTTCTCACAAAACTCCGGTTCCTTCGAAGGTGAGTGAGGCTTTATTTGTGTGCGAAAATCGTTACCACTGACTGCATCCTTTAAAGCACCTGCTGGTGAGCACTGCTGTATTGTCATCCCGTGGAGGTGCTTGCACGAAGGTGTGAAGGAGATGGCCCACGGGGAACTAGTTTATTTGGAGGTGGAAATTCTGGGCTTCCGGGAAAAGCCGTGTGAATTGTCAGCCGGGATATTGTATGTGTTGTATTCAAAACAAGTCTGAATCCAGGTTGTGCCAAAAGAATCATAGTGCAATGATTATTATAAAAAAGAGGAAGTTTTATGATTTGTTTGTGGGCGGAATGCTGCCAGTTCAAGCAGGTGCCCAGGCCAAAGGATACTGTGCTCACCGGTGAAACCGGACAATGGACCTTTTAATAATGACAGTCGTGAAAATATTTACATTGGCTTCGGTGTGCTGAACAATAGGAGTGAACTCTGTGACTAAGAAAACCCAGTCATGATAACCGGTAACTTAAGCCCTTGAACCGTGAGGCGGAGATTCACACAACGGTGCGTTGTTGGTCCAGTTGACAAGCAACCTACTCTCCATCAAACTGAAATGACGAATTTTCCCACAATGGACATAGACGCATACTGAAGGCGAATTAAACCGTTCAGTTTGGACTGCCGTAAGGGTTTGAGATCGGCCCATCAATCAATGGGGACTGATGCAATCCCCACCCCGCTCCCTCGCGTATCGGGACGTAGATAACCAAAGGCTTCAGATGTGAAACCCTGAGAATATACCGTCGGCTTGCGCAAACTCACAGCACTGCATCCACCAACAGTTCGTTGGTTGGTTCGACTACTGTGAGGAAGATTGCATCATGATGTGTTTAGCACATAGATTCAGACTAGTGTGGCAATATTTTAAAAGTGTCACCACGGTATTTGCAACAAAAACTAGTTATTATGAAAACCAACTCACCTTAGCTTGGACGGTCGGATTCGCGGGGTGAGCATTGAAAACTTGGCCAGAGCAGCAGTGATCGCCCGCGGATTTTGGGCTCGTTTTATTTCCAAGAACAGCTCACATATCAGCTGGTGTGTCATGCTGATACGCAAAAACTGGGGAGTGGAGAAATGAAGTAACAACACACATACAGTTTAGACGGAGAAAAGTAATCGATTAGGTGTAAATAGCGTAATTGGAGTAATTGGGAGGACGAAACTTCAAACCACTATCTATCTATTGTTATCCTATACAACCCGCCACCAATATCAGCACTTCATAATCCAGGCTGGAAGTGATCGAGTGTTTTTACCTGATACAGCCTAAGCTTTGATTTG